TGTTGTTGTTGTTGTTGTTGTTAGTCTCATGATGCGAGCGGTGGTGCTGGATTTAGGCTTCGACAGTTATGGAGCAGGTTGTGCCCCCTGACGGCTCACAGCTGGGCATCTGAAGGTAGTAGTGACAGAAATGCTCGCATGTCCTGACTCCCGCCTTCGTCATGTTGTTCTGGAACGTGCGGGTCTGCTGGCTCTCGTCGACTTTGCATTTATTAGTCTTCTCCACAAATGCAGCCAGCGGCACTGAACCAATGTGCTCGGGGACCGTGAACTGGCGGCCCTCTGCGACGTCCTCCCTGACGCCCACCACCAGCGTCCGCACCCGACCTTGCGGGATGCCGTGGTCCGAGGCTTTCAGGCTCATCCTGCAAGTCACCTTTCTGACGGCGCACTCTGGACCCGAAACCCTATGCTCCACACAAACCCTAAGAATGCGTTCTAGACGGCATACAGGCAAGCAACGTAGCCCGCATCATTCAGGATGCTCTCCCACTTGTCCAACACAGGCTTGTGCTGCTTGTCGATGTTCGCCACGTTTTCGAACAAGAAGGCCTCAACGGACAAGTTTGTCCAAGGGTTTGGGGCTTGGCGGCTATAGCGTTACTAGGGTTGTTCGATTCAGGGATCAGGGTGTGGTTCTGCCTTGGGCTTCTCGTCCAGTATCTTGCCGCAGCCATCTACCACGAGCTGCCCTCTCCCTTCCCCAAGTCCAAGGCCCTTCCCGGCCAGACTGTAAGACTGGCACGGTGCCGTCAGCATGTAGAGCTCAAGACTCTCCTGGCTTAAGTGCCTCTCTACCATGTTCACCGGCTGCTCGTACGCGGGCAAGTCCACCGCATCAGACACACGAGACGCCATGCGCCTCACCGCAGGGTCGATCTCGCAAGCGAGCATGTTCTTCACTGGGATCTTCAGGTCCATATTGGCGAGAGCAATAATCTTGGCTTCAGGCACAAACAGAAATGCAACAGCACATTGCACATGCGTTTCAGGCCGAGCTGCGTGAGCTCCGTATCCAGAGCAATCCGCCGCCACGCGGAGCTCCTTCGGCGGGGCCGGCGGCCCTTTCTTCTTGTTTTTCATGATGCTGGTCCGGACTTCCACTGCCTCCATTCACGCCGGAAGCACGCAACATTGACAGTTTCGGGACCGACCCTAAATTGTGTCGCCTAAAATGAACCATGGCATTCACCACTGTTTGCTCGCAGCGCCTTCTGCTGCAGCTTTGTCCACGTCCATTTCCCCATATTGTCTCGAGCGAGGCAACAAGGATGGCTTTTAGCTTGGGGCACAGACTGCGCGTCCAAGTATAATGCGTGCACACAAAGGCGCATGCAACCAACTCTCCTTGCTGCACGCAGGCTCGATCTTTTTTTGCTCCAGACGTTTTAGCAAGCATCGCACGGCATTTTGCCCAATATCGACACCTGCCCAAAATCAACACAAAGCTGACTGGCCCCCTCTTCAGTTTTCGGCTCACAAGCTAAACCTGCTCCCAAAATCAACACAAATCCGACTGGCCCACTCGTCAGTTTTCGGCTGACAAGCTAAACCTGCTGCGGATATCTGCGCATGACTCGCATGAGCAGTTCACACAAAACTTCGACTTTGGAGCCTGGCCATCGCAAGAAGCCGAAGTAACAATGAAAATACGCACTTTGCCACTGCCACTGCAAGCGCCCTCATTGCTGCAGACCCGGCCTTCTCCTCCTTGGGGTGTTCCTTTGCGTACGCCTTTCTCGCAAGCTGCTTCAGGACTGTGCTGCTAGCCAAGGCTTCCGGCAACGGCGCAAGGGTAGCATTGCCGTTGGCACACACAAAGCCCATTGAGCGCAGCTTGTCCCGTTGATCCTTGGACGCTTTCTGACTCAACCAATCTTTTCCTCCCCAAAGCTCAGCCACAATCGCCCAGCTTGGTGAGTCCTCGAAAGTCCACGGCAGCCGGCCGTCTACTTTGATGGCCTTCATGTTGCTGTCTTGGGTTGCCGGCCCCTCCGAACCGAGCCCGCGCATGCTGTAAGACCACACTACCCCGCAGGCAGGACGTCGCTCTTGTACAGCGGCAGTGGCCCCAGACACGACGATCGTTGGGTGACAGACCTTGCCCACGGACGCCGCGAGCCCCCCTTGCTTGCTTTTAGGTTGCCAGACCAACTTCACTCGATTGAAGTTTGTACTCGGAGCCGCATTCGCCAGGATGGCTGTGATGGCTCGGGTTGCCCTGGGCGCATCATCGAGGTTCTGCGTCAAGTCAAAGCTGATGACCCCCTTCGTCTTGGCATCCTTATCCTTCTTGACCGCCTTTGCTTTAGCCGTGTGTGCCGACTCTGCCCCGGAAGCTGCCTTCTTTTTTGAGCACACACCAAAGACCATGGAAATGCCGTGAGAAAGGGATTTCCTTAGCACTTCTGCCCAACATTCTCTCACATGCCGTGACTGATGCTTAGGGCCCTTGCGGCTGGAAGTGCTGCAGCAGAGTCGGCAAGTGCATCAGCTCGGCCTGACTATACTCCTACTCTGAGAACAAAGGGCCGGCCTGCCCACGCGGCGCCTCCTTCAGGATATCATCCAGCTTAGCTGCGGCGATGTCGACCATCTTTATTTTCTTGCCTTGTCTTCCGAATTCACTTCTACCTTCTGCAAAACACCACGTGTGCAACAGTAACAGGCTGCCGAGGAACAAGATCCCTTAGCACCCTTCAGCATTGCCAAGGCATCCGCTTGCTCACGTGAAGCTGCCATGACTTGGGTGACACTAGGCTAAGTGGAGTTCACTTGACGTTGAACCGCAAACTCTGGACGAAGGCTGTCCGAAACTGCACCGTCGAAGCGGCTGCACTTGCCGACCACAATCGAGTGTCATTTTGAAGACCCCGCCCTTTCCCTAAACCAAAAATCTACACCCAAAGACAGATCGAGAGAGACACGCGACACTTCTCGAGAACCAACCGAGCAAACCGGAGACCCTTAACCCTAAACTGAAAACCCCGCACGCACTGACGGATCGAGAGGCGCCCTGTCAATCAGAAGGATCGGAAGGCACACGCAAAGAGAGAGTAACTTCAAGAAGCCTGAACCAGCTCCAGCCTGCGCACATTAGGAAGGATTTGTGATTCGGCTTCTGAGCTGCACTCACTGGGTGACCAGACCTCTGTGGGCCTGTGCGGATCTGGTCTCGGAATTAAAATTAGCCTCAGCGTCCGACCTCATCTGACGCAAGCAGTTGCCTGAGTGTTGACCTTTCAACGCTTTTAAGGCCGGCACGGCGTACTAATGACAATGATGCACACAGTTCCTGCTACTGCTCGCTCTTTTTAAAAACCTGCAGACTTCCCCTACGGGCTCAAAGCTAATCGGCCCAAAACGGAAGAGACCTGGTGGCTCTCCCCTGCCAACTCAGCCCGAGCCTCACGGAATCCGCAGCGACACCCTGACGGCTGTCTGCTTCACTCAGACCCGGCCTCCTTGCCACTGCTGGAGCCGCTCTCTTCCTCGGAAAGTTCATACTCCGCATCCTTCTCCTCCTTCTTCTCTTCGTCGTTGGTCTTGTTGGCCTGAGCATCCTTCTTCTGCTTCTTCTCTTGGTTTGTGGTCTTGTCGCCCTGAGCGATGTCCTTCGCGGCATCATCCTGGCCGTCCTTCACGGCATTCTGGCCATTGCTGGCACCTGTGTTGCGTGGCTCTGGATTGCTGTCGTGGACAGCAGGGGCCACCGAGGACGCGGGCGGAGACTGGCTCAGATCCACCACAAGCTTTTCCACGAGAAAGTCCATGAGGACCTGCGGTTTTGGGTAACCCAGTCGGTTTAAGGTTTAGGGTTTTGGGAATCCTTGCCCCCTGGCCTTGGCGTGCAGTGAGCTTCGGCAAACAGCCACCATGGTCACCTTGCTGCGCAACCCTGCAAGAAGCCCGTAGGGGTCTGGGCTCAGGAAGATGAGGCTGGACAGACGGAATGTGTGGAATAGCTCCTGATACACGACCACATGTTTGGACGCGAAGTGAAGGGGGAGCATGTCCTGGACACAAGCGTCACTGGCTTTGGCTTCGTGTCAAGCAGCAGTTGGCTTCGTGTCAAGCAGCAGTCACTCCTCGTCGGCCATGTCGTCGGGAATGGCTGGTTCAGCCGCCGTGTCCGAGATGAACTTGCCCTTGCCTTCAACCTTCAGCAGCACCTCCCAAGCGCCCGAAGCAAACCAGACCGACATGTAACACTATCTCTCTTGGCTTCGCCTGGGTTTTGATCTTCTTTGTCACTCTCGGTTCCAGCAGCACTGGGTTCGGGAGGGGGACCGGAAGCCATGGACACGTCGAGTCCGTGCCAGTCCTGCACACAGTGTAGCCCTAAACCCGGGACCCAATCATTGCTCCCAGACATGTGTGCAAGGCTGTCCCTATCCAGCGGTGTTCGCGCGCTTCCAGACTGCTGCCGCAAACAGCAAAGTGGAGAGACTCCCGGCCGACATACGCGCCCAGCGAGACCGCCTTGCGCTTGCGCCTGGCATCAGGCCTCGGCTCGATCCTCGGGGTCGGCGGTTCCTACACGAGACACTGAACCAGTGCCATGTGCACCATTTTTGCGACTGAAGCACAAATCGTCCAAAGCAGCATTGTAACGGGCCCGACGCTCAAGATCTTGTTGCTGCGGCAAGAAAAGAAAGCTCTGCAAAGTACTCTGCGCCTTCGGTTTGACGATTTTCCCGAGCTGTTTTCTAATCTCGCCCTGCGCTTTGGCCGAACCCATGTCAAAGACCATGAATACGTCCTGCGTATGTCTAAAGACTGAAACTGTAAACCCCTAGAACCCAACCTGAATTGACATTTCTTGTCCTTGTCTGCTTGGGCCAGCTTCTCGAAGATCCTGCACGAGTTCGTCCTCAGAGATTCTCGAGCTACGCAGGGAATATGGTGTATAGGAAGCAGACCAGGACCTGGCACGCTCCCTCGAACCCTGCCCCCTCCGACCCTCCTTTTGAACCCTCGCCTTGAGACCCCTGCCTGGCACTTCTCCTGGGACCCCCCTCGCCCCTGACCCTCTGAGACCACCGCCAAAGCACTGTATAGGAAGCAGACCAGGACCTGGTACGCCCCCTTCCCCCCTCCTTGGCCCCCCCCTCGCCCTGACCCCCTGAGACCACACCGCCGAAGCACGGGACCCCCTCAAGACCTGCCCCTACCCGAAAAGGTTTTTCGAATTTCCTGGGCCTCGGCGGCGCGCGCAAGCGTTTTAAAATCCAACTAGCATCTTGCGGGTGAGCAGCAAAACCGGCTTTGCAAATGGAGGACTTCGTGTGAAGCAGTTGTGGTTGCGCGAATAAGCCTCACTGACCTCTGTCAGCATGGAACCGTCCAGGAGCCAGCCGCGGAGCATCTGCTCCGCATTGTCGCCGGCGGGCAGGAGCTTGTCGACTGTCCTGATTGACGAAACAATTCCCTACAACCCTAGCCCTGTCACAACATATACCCAGCCCGCCGGCGGGACGCCCCATCGAGCAAAGAAATCTCAGAGGGTCTTAGGGGCTGGTGGTCAAGGTGAGCATAGATGCACCTGACTGAATGCAAGGAGATGAAATGATTCAGCAAGGTGGAACACCCCAGCGAACAAACAAATCTCAGAGGGTCTCAGGGGCCGGTGGCTCCTCAACAACCCTTAAACGAAACCCCAAGCCGAATTTATGAAGCCAAACCCTAGACCCTAAGCAACCTGAACCCTAAACCCTAAACCCTACTAATTCCATTAATGTTTTCATTCCGAGTTCCCTTGCAGGGCGGCCTCCATGCTGCCACAATCCATGACGTCAGCAACGACGAACTTGATGTATCTAAACATCATCTTCTTCGCCACCACACGCGGGTCTTCGCGGACCTGGCCCACGTTCACGGTAGAGGTCTCTGCCTGCGGCACTGCCACGTCCTCATCTTTCCAAGCATCATCAGGCTGCGGCACATCTGGCGGCTCAATGACCATGGGCGCCGTCTGCAGCGGGGCCATGTGTGTCGCCCGGTGCCTGTCAGCACACAACGCCAGCACGTGAGGTTCAAACGATTACCAGTTCTAACTTCCAGCAGAGCGGCTCATCGATGGCTTTTTTGCAAAGCTTCTGGATCCGACTGTCGCTGTATTGTGACTGCACGGAATCATGACTGGCCGCCACCCCATAGAACTCCGGGAGGTACGCATGCTCCTGCATACCTTTCAGCAACTCAAGGACAGCGACCTGCTCATTGCTCCTGCCGTGAATGTCCTCCAGAAACGACGCGTCTATGGAGCACATCTGCTTCGCATCCACAAACTTTGCCAGGAGATCGCACCAAGAGCTGTCTGCTGTGGACACGTCTTTGATGATCCGGACCATCACGCCACGCGTCGCAATCACCGCTTTGGCGCTGTCAATGAGGTCCTCCTTCTGCAGCTCGTAGATCTTGCGCCGGAAGCCGGGGTACTTCGCAGGCGTTCTTGCGCCCAAAGCGAAGGATCCTGAGCTTCGGGTTTTGGTTTTAGGGCTTAGGGTTTAGGGTTCAGGGTTTAGGGGTTAGGGGTTTCGGGCCCTCGGGCCCTCAGGGCAAGCCTTTAGGGTTTGGGGCAAGTCCCTTGTAAAGCAAGGAACGAACCATCCAAGCAAACTCCTCGGGCTTGGAAGCTAGCCCGAGCACGCGGCACGCAATGCTCCAACGGCTTGCCCAAGTGGGGCCGAAGTCGTCGTGGTGCTGCAGCATTTTGAACTCATCCCAGACTTCTGCTTCCACGCAGCGCTGCCGCAGCCGCAAAAGTTTCGCTATCATGTCTTTGCTGCTCACCTGCCACAGAAGCTCTGGGTTTAGGGAGTTTTTAAATTTTAGGTATTTAACTCTTTGACTGCCCAGCCTTGCTGTCTACGTGGGCAAAGCTCAGCTTCCTGTCCCTGAGCCGGGCCTGTCAGGTAAACCCAACAGCAGATTTGACATCCTCAGCTCACTGCTGCCTGGAACTCCTCGAAGAGGTCGCCCGGGCCCGAAGGCTTACCGAGCGATTCGTGAAGTTTCTGTAGCCTTGGCTTGAGCTTGTGTCACAAGCCGCGGGTGCATGGCAAGCGAAGGCAAGGCCACATGCTGACGAGGGGCATGAAGAGACGATCTGCCAACCTGCAGGAGAAATGATTCCCCTCCTGGCCGCGGCGGTGGGAAACGCTGGTAGCAGGAACCCGAGCCTGTACCCTAAACTGATAACCTGAATTTCTGGACTGAATTCCTTTGTGATTTATCTGTGTTTTTCGGTGTTTTGCATATGTGTCTGTCTTGGAGTTGTTACAGGGGAGAGGGAAGAGGGGATGGGGAGAGGAGATGAGAGGGGAGCTCCCCCCTGCCCCCCCGAGAAATTAGGACACTTCCAAGCCGAAACCCTTTCAGTGCCTCGCTCGAGGTTCGTATTACTTCCTCTCCGCGGCGATGAACAAGCCACCAAGACTCCACCGAGTCTGAGCTGGCCCGAATGAAGCTGAAGCGGTGAGCCTCAAAATTCGGGACTGCTCCAACCTTATTAGAAATTAAAAACAACCCTCGTGCAGTAGGCCTAAACCCTTTCTCCCAGCAGCGGCTGCACGCGCAGCGAACAGCTTGGCTCGCTCCTCGCCGGCTGCCACTGCCGCATCCCACTCAAAGATGAAGGCAGCAAGTTGGACTACCCGCGACACGGGTGTCAAGTCCCCCCTGCAATGGTTAGGTGTGCAGGGCTGGAACCCAAGCCCTGAAACGTTATTAGGTGTGCAGGGCTGGAACTCAAGCCCTGAAACGTTAAACCCGAGCCTTGCACTGTCATCTGTGAACAGCACCATCGTTTCCGGCAGCTCGGGCGGGTTGTCGCCCTTGTACCAAAACTCACGGCTGGCCGAGATGTCACGCAGGCCCACCCCGGCGCCGGCTGGACCGGGGCACGACCACTGCAAATCTCCGAGCACGCCGCAGCCCTGCGGATTCCTGGTTGGTCTATGCGCAAAAGAGTTCAGGGATGTGGTTCCGGGTTTGGCCAAAAAAGGCTTCAGGTTTTGCCAAAAAATGTATTAAGTCAGAGCCCGGGCACAAAGCATCCTGTGGAATGTCACTGCCACGCCAGTCAGCGGCCAGCGCTGTCACGCCGCTCACCGGGAGTGGCTCGGCGCCGCTCTCGACCCACATCTTGGATTGCTTCAAGCGATCCACGCACTGCCGCAACTCCCGCCAAGCATCAGGCTCAGCAGGAGCCGGCATGGCCCCCGCCGCGTCGGCCTCGGGCTTCTTGGCGCCGGACCTGCGCCTTGACATCGCCAGGACCCAAACCTCTAGGAGCAAACCAACAGTGAACCTGAGAATGCATCGGAGAAAATGCAAAGCACAGAGTGGTTGCAACAGCACATGCACTATAGAGCTTGCTAGAGCAGAGGATGTCATAAGTTGCGCTTCTCCTTTGTTTCCTTCCTGAGCGCCAGGTCGATTCCCCACGACTAGTGCGCGCACACATCGAAGTGGGTCAAAGCCACCTGTCTAGGGTTTAGGGTTTCGGGTTTCGGGTTTAGGGTTTAGGGTTTAATCCCTCCGAAGCAAAACAAATCAAAATCTGATCCGAAACATGACAAAACCATCAACGATCAGCGACAATCTTCCACATGGTGAGGGTTTAGGGTTTAGGGTTTAGGGTTTAGGGTTTAGGGTTTAGGGTTTAGGGTTTAGGGTTTAGGGTTTAGGGTTTAGGGTTTAGGGTTTAGGGTTTAGGGTTTAGGTTTTAGGTTTTAGGGGTGGGAGCCCAGTGCTGCCAAATGGCTTCGTGAGACAACTCAGGAAGTCCCACCAGGAAACCACCCTGCCCCGCACCTTCTTAAGCCTCTTCTGCTTCGATGCCGCATCCTTCCAAACCGGAATGAGGGCTGTTTTGCGCGGCCTTGGCTGCATTCAAGGGGGACGCTATTATGAAAAGTTTTCCGGCTATTCGGCATCCTATGTTTTGAGGTTCGCTATAATGAAAAGTTTTCGGGGCGGGACTGTTTTTTTTTAATGGTTTTGAGGTCCCAAAATATCTCAAAAGCTGCTGAGAGGTGCACAACTCAATATACTTCCTGACCCCTTCCCTGCCTGACTGTTTGGGGGCTCGTTTCATTCAGGCTCCTTGTCTGTTGCGGGGCGGCGGGGTTACATTCTTCAAGCAGGTCCAACATTAGGAAACAAAACCAAACCAAAAAAAAAGTCGCCCGAGAGCTGCGAATGTAGGGGGGGGGGGGGGGGGGGGCCCCGCGATGCGACGGGCGTGCCGGTCACCGCTGTAGCAGTGGGGGGGGGGTTCCCCCCCCCCGCACTGCTACGTCCCATTTGACCATGTTGGCAAGGCTCAAAAAGCCAAAGCCCAACAAAATATGCTAACATAAGACCACGGCCCATAAAAAACCACCCAAAATCAGGTGTAGCTGTGGGGGGGGGGGGTCCCCCCCCCCGCAATGCGACGGGCGTGCCGGTCACCGCTGTAGCAGTGGGGGGGGGGGGGAGGGACCCCGCACATCTACAATGAGCAAGAACAAACCCTGGCCGAACCAAACTGCAGCCAAGTGGCAGATACTCTTTCTTGCTGCCTCGCAGAACCCAGCGCACATGCCCTTGTTCGGGGCCACCTCGCAGGATGGCATCGAGGTGGTTCAGACATCCTTTCAGCTTTTCCGGCAGCTTGGACATGTAAATGTTGTGCGGCTGGGCGTATGCTGCCCCAAGCCTGATGATCGGGGAGGGGACAGAGGCGTCCTGTCGGTTGGCAAGTAGACTCGGCCATTGCCCACTGGCGACATACCCGCCAAGCACGCGAGTCGCCAGGATGATTGAAACCTCCTTCCAACACTCTCCCTGGGCGTCGGCCGCAGGAATCTCGACGCCATTCTGGGGCCCCAAAACCTTTTGGAAGGTTTCCGGCTCCACGCACACCCACACGAGCCGCTTGCAGTCCATGGCAACCTCCTGGCTTACGCCATTCAAGAACTCCGAGGCACTGTAGAACACAGAACCTGCAAACGAAGATACCCGGGCCAGCTGCTTCTTCGCACGCGTCTTCAAATGGACACAGGAACCGAGGATGACGAATGTGCAGGGTCCCGGGGCTAGTTCTTCCAACTGCTCGTGCAATTGTCTCATCTCTATCCTCTGGAGCTTCTCTTTGTCCTTTAGCACGTTCCTTTCATGCTCTGACAACTTGGCGGCAATGCCATGACCGGGACCATGAACGAAGTCCTGTTTGAGCTCCGCAGCTTTTGCCTGAAGTATTGCCCGCAGCTTCTCTTGCTTAGGAGAGGCACGCCGTCTTGCTGCGGAGTCAACGACTTGCTGAAGGTCTTCCAGACCTTCCTCGGCATCTGGCTGCTGCAGCGAACGCCGCTGTGCGTCCCGCTGTCTCTGGAAAGACGCCAAGCCCTTGGATTTCAGCCTCGAGCAGAAGGACTTTCGTGGAAGTCGGTCCCGTCTCGTGTTCCGACCTTGCCCACCATAAAGCTTCCGGTACTTGTCCAGGATTTTGAAACCAAGACTGGATGGCTGGTAATTGCCCTTTGAGAAAAAAACCACCTTGTCCAGGTCCGGGCAGTCGCAGAAGACTTTCAGATAGCAATTCCTGTTTTCCTCTGACATACTGGCCTTGATGGAGCCTGCAAGACGGAGAACCGCCACAATCGCTTGCGCACAACTCAACGAGCATCGAACATGAACATGCGCCTGAAAACAGCCGCAGTGTGCTAAAGCTGGTCTCGATCTCCGAAGTGGCATCGAAGATTGCTAGCATGAAGCGAACCTGAGAACTCTGAAAATACCACGCGCACACACGCACAAACACACGCCCGTGCTCCAAGGAAATGCCATGTCACAGACTGTGGTCTCAGTGAAGGACGGCAGCTTTCAGTGATTTCAACCGATCAAAGCGCTGCATAGTCATGGGCCAGTAGGCTCTCTCAGACCTGCGCACCACCCAACCCGCCTGCTCCACCTCACGCGCTAAACCTCTACTACCATATCTCGGCCAGCGCCTGGCAAGAAAGACCGCCGTGGGTCGTGCGACGAGGTACTCTTCGCGCAGCACGTGTGTGTCCAGCTGCAGCAGCTTGGCCAAAGGATCCAACACCTCGGGCCTTAGTGCGTGCAGGCTCGCGCAAGGCGCCACCGGCCAGGGAATGAGAGCAAGTTTGCCATTGCCGACTGACGAGGAACAGGGTGGAGTCTGATCTGTTGGCCGTCCACCAGACCACGTCGAAGGGGCTCAGAGCAGACCCAACACCAGCTTGATGCCAAGTCTCCACGGACTCGAGAAACAAGTCCGACACGTTCTTGATGGACCCCAATTCGGGCGCCAGCAGAGCAGCATACTCTTCGTCGGGCACGCCTGCGGTTTAGTTGAGGGTTTGGGGTTTAGGGTTTAAGAGTTTAGGGTTTAGGGTCTAGGGTCTAGGGTTTAGGGTTCGCGAGCCTTCGTAGTGAAACAATAGGCGACCATCCTGGTACACGGCAATGTCCGAGCTGCTGCCTTGGGCAGCTTATTATCATGCGAATTGCAGACGCCCAAGCGTTCTCACAGCAAGAAGTTTTCTTATCATTGTAGGCTAAGATGCTCAAAGCTTTCATCTGCTGCTCGGCTATCTGAAGGTACCCGGACGTGTAATTGCTATTGAGAACCAGAGGCCGTTGGGCGGTGGAGCCGTCCAAGGACTTGAAGGCAAAGGTGCGATTGAGATCCTGTGTGAACCCAAGCAGTAATTCATTGGAACGCAGCATCCGCACAAGTGAGTCTACAGCGTCCTGCTTCAGATTCTCGCACAACCTGGAGCAGTTGGATATGCGAGCTGTGGAAGAGGTCGGCGCGGACTCTGACTTTGCGGCGCCCCTGTCGTACTCATGAACGAATGGAGACACCAAGCTGAGCCACTCCGTCGTCAGTGCAAGCAGCCGAATGTTGCTGGGCGTCAGTACCTCGCCGTCAGAGTCATGTTCCCGGACAGAGCCCTAGTACTACGGACAAACAAGAGCCAACCGGCATACATCATACGCTGTCAGGTTGCAGCTAGAAGTTTCACAGCCCACGCTGATTTATCGTTCTTCAATGCTGCCAGGTCCAAGAGAAATCGAACAACCGAAGAGATGCACAATATCAATTTCTGCAGACAGTTCGTGCAACTGTCAAACCTTTGAGCCGCGTAATGAGCGCTCATCTGCGGACCCAGAACACAATCAAGCTGGGATTGCACCTTCTCGCTGAACTGTGCTAACAACTTGTGAGAGTTGCCAATGGCCCTGCAGAAACCGCCCGGGTCCTTGCTGTTTTGTGACGACAAACGCATAACGAACTCATCTAGCAGGATTTTGATGTTCCCGTCGCTCTTCAGGGAGTTTTCCAAGCTTCGCTGCGCCGAGTGCAGCCGGCATCTTGTGGACAGCTTCAAGGAAGGCAACACACCCTTGGCCTTGGCTGCGAGGCTGGTACACGCTGCTGGCGGTGAACCGCTTCCATCTGAGCCTGTGGCGGCAGCAAAGCGCCCAGCCAGTCCCTCAGCTTTTTCGCCATCCACAGTGTACACCTGCAAAGGTGCGCGCATGGCCCACAGAACTGCAGGAGACCCTGGACTTCGGTCCTGGAAGAGCTTTGCGAAGGACTCATGGTTGTCCGGGCTGAACTTCTGCAAAACTCTCCCCATGTGCTCCACTTTTCCGAGCGAAGTCTGTCGCAGGGCACGGTATTGCACGTGTTCTGCGCAAGCAACATTACTATTGACATGCCTGCCTTGACGCCGTGGCACTTTGAGAGCTCCAACATGCGGTGATGAACCTGGCTTCGACGCCTACCAATTATTCACATACAACTGCAACAAGTATGCCACTGAACAGCGGCGCCTGGTACTTGTGGTCCACAAGTCTCATCTTCACACACAAGGAATCTTTGCTGACGTCCTGACCCACAGGACGTCAGCCTGTGACCAGCCTCTGACTGTTTCTCAGCACAGCGTTCAGACTCAACCGCCTCGGCCCAGCCAGCGGACTTGCACTTCGCGGCCAGCCTGCGGTCCTGAATCAGCACGCAAGCCCAAATGAGACACACACACACACAGAGACACACACACACACACAGAGACACACACACACACACACACACCCACCCACCCACCCACCCACCCACCCACGCACGCACGCACGCACGCACGCACGCAAGCACGCCCGCCCGCCCGCCCGCCCGCCCACCCACCCACACACACACACACACGTCTACGCAACGGGCCACTGCCGGGCCTCGTCCCACAGCACCTCTGCAACTGTCCTGATGATTCGCGCGTGCTCGGTCGCGCAGGAGCGACCCGCAGGAAAGTTCCTGCAATCGGCTCGCCCCGCCAGTTCGCACCGAGCTTCGTAGGACCTACCCTGCGCGCTGCTAGGCATCCGCAGGACTTCAAGCGCCAGGCGCACTTGCGCTGGTGTCGGCACTGCCTTGTCCTCCTCGCTCCCCCCGGGCGATGCAGCTGGCTGTCCCAGCTTCTCCAAGCTCCGAATGTGCCCATCCGACTCTCCGTGACGCCGAAGATCCTCCAGCTGCAGCATACCCCCGAACCGGGTCATAGGCACCTCGCACAGAGATATAAAGCAAGGAGGAGCGAGTCCAAAGCCGTGCGACACATTTCCTAAAGTAGTGCATGTCGTTTTAGTGACCAAAACCGCGCGACACATTTCCTAAAGTAGTTAGTGTCGTTTTGAGTGACCAAAACCGGGCGACACATTTCCTAAAGTAGTTAGTGTCGTTTGAGTGACCAAAACCGGGCGCCACTTTTCCTAAAGTAGTTTGTGTCGTTTTAGTGAGCAAAGCCGGGCGACACATTTCCTAAAGTTGTTTGTGTCGTTTTAGTGACCAAAGCCGGGCGACACATTTCCTAAAGTAGTTTGTGTCGTTTGAGTGATCCAAGCCGGGCGACACATTTCCTAAAGTAGTTCGTGTCGTTTTAGTGACCAAAGCCGGGCGACACATTTCCTGAAGTAGTTTCTGTCGTTTTAGTGACCAAAGCCGGGCGACACATTTCCTAAAGTTGTTTCTGTCGTTTTAGTGACCAAAGCCGGGCGACACATTTCCTAAAGTTGTTAGTAGTCGTGTTGTATTACAATTTACCTTTGTTTAATCTCTCTCTCTGTCTGTCTGTCTCCCTTGCTATGCTTTTGTGGAAAGAACAAAAAGATGCAGAAACACCCTTCCGAAAGACAGCACACACCTCGTATTGGGCTGCACCCTTCTTCATTTGGACAAAGGCCGATCCAGATGCAGCCGGGTTGTCACAAGCATCTCTGCAAACTGCGCACCCCAATCCCCATGGCTTGTTGCTGTCGCTCTCCACCAGCCACGTGGCGGTGCCCCCGGAGCTGGTAGAATAAACAAGTTTCTTTTGCCAGGAAGCAGCATGCTTGATGTACTTGCAGCGGTTGCACCGCTTGATGCACAGCTTTGCCTCAGGTTTCGTAGCGTTACAACTGAAAATGCCACATTAACTTAGAACCCGAGACCAGTACACTCCCGTGCTTCTCCAGACATCTCTTCGCATGTGCACCTGCAGGTGCACCGGACGTGCAAACAAGTATCAATAAAAGCAAGGCTTCAACTCGAGCTTTACTGACCTTACCCGCGCCTTCTGGACTGTGACCTCGCACAGATGCCATCTCGCTGAGGTCACGGAATCAGGTGTCTCAACGTATGAAAGGTCCAATGTTAATTGCATAAGCGCCACATTAGAAGCGTTTTGTCGCAGCTTCTGGTTTAGGGTTTAGGTTTCCGGGTTTATATGATAAGGTTCCCATGTAGTTCAGGCATTCGAGGGTTACAAGAGAAGCCTTGCACATGGCTTTGGAATTCTGGGACCCCAGCGGCTTCAGTAGACTCGCGCTCAGGGAAGCTAAGTTGGCGATCACCCTAAACCCTAAACCCTAGACCCTAAACCCCTAAACCCTAAACCCTAAACCCTAAACCCTAAACCCGACAAGACCCAAGGGCCTCAATCCCGTGGGCCTGCTGATGGAGTGGCGACCTGCCGGAGGGCCTGCTAACGCAGCGGCGACCTGCCGGAGGGAGCTCTTGTGGGCACGAGGGTTAAGGGCTCCAAAGAGTTCGGGCTTGGGGTTGAGGTTCTTTTGTTAGGGCTGCGTGAGGAGCTACACTCGAAAGGGTTGGAGTTTAGCCAGGGCTAACCGAACCCAATCCCTAGACCCTTTAAACCCTAAACCTTCAAGGCCAGGAAAAAGAGATATCGTATGCGTTTCATTACGAGCAGCTCACACAATAACCCCTTCATCCTTCACAGTGTAAGACCCCATCAGACAAAAGCATGGCTTTCAGGCACCAAACAAGCCCCTGAATGGTGAAAGACAAGCCCCTACAGCTCCCAGCCCCAATCCTTCAGGCCCCCCCAGCCTCCCAGTCCCCCCCCCCACCCCCCCCCACCCCCCCAGCCCCACCCGACAAAACCTCCCCAAATTTCAGCAAAAGCAAGAAACAAAACCCGGCAAATCCCGACAAAACTCCGGACACAAACTAAATACAATTTCTATAAACCCCTAAACCTCCTGACAAGACCCAAGGGCCTCAATCCCGTGGGCCTGCTGATGGAGCGGCTGCTGACGCAGCGGCGACCTGCCGGAGGGAGCTCTTGTGGGCTCGAGGGTTAAGGGCTCCAAAGAGTTCGGGCTTGGGGTTGAGGTTCTTTTGTTAGGGTTGCGTGAGGAGCTACACTCGAAAGGGTTCGAATTTAGCCAGGGCTAACCCTAAAACCAAAAACCCAATCCCTAGACCCTTTAAACCCTAAACCCTTTCAAGTTTAAACCCCAAACCCTGAAGGCTATAAGACCTCTGATTGGTGCGGTTATTACAATTATATTTAGTTTCAAGGGTGAGCGCCTCGGGTCTTGGGGTTAGCGCTTGGCATTCATGTTGGGTTTATCTGTTTCCAAGGCAGGAAGAACGACAGGTCCTCTAGGCCAGCCCTAGTACTGTTACTGCTGGCACAACTTCTGCTGCAGCGGGCGATTCTTCAAGAACTCCTCAACCAGCATTCTGCTGTCAGACACATGCCGCATGAACAAGTGACACACATAACGAGTATCCTGGGGCATCGAGCTCATGGCTGGAACACGCTTGTCAAGCTCCTGGAAATCAGACACCGTCGCATCAAAACTCCAAATCTGTTCCATGTCTGTAAAGGGATGTGTGCCAGCGAAGCATTCCATCAGTGTGACCCCGTATGCCCAACTCTCTGACCGTCTGGATGGAGTTGCACCTCGCCAGACCTCCGGTGGTCGGTAGAGCCCAGTGTACGCGGCCGTGTCCTGTGATTGCGCTGCCAGCGCAGCCTCCGCCTGACACAAGGTCAGTCTTCCAAGCTTCAGGGTGCAATCCTGCTCGTTCCAGAATGCCGCATGCGGCCTCAAGTCCAGGTGCAAGAGTTGCAGTCCGTGCAGCTGCGTCACCGCGAGCGCCAACTGCGCAGCCATTGCCTGCAGCTTGTGGCCCCTCAGCGGACCAGATCTTGTCAGCACGTCGCTCAGCCGAGGCAACTTCTCAAAGACGATGCATTTCACCGGATCGTTGCAAATGATGGCCTGCTGCACACGCAAGAAGACATCACAATTCCATGCATCGTTTTCTTCCGCCCGCCAGAGCTGCTGCAAGATGCCTACTTCATGTCGGAAGTCCGCCTGAGACTCATAAACCACTGCAGCAGATTCGAAACGAAGATCCTTGTGCAGTGCAGCATAGGCAGCCACGGACGTTCCTCTCCACAAGACCGTGTCCAGGAGCTCATACTCGCCTATGCTTGAGCCAGGTCCATGCTGAGGTTGGCCGTTCGCCCCTCCAGACATGAGTTGCTCCTTCGCTCGAGCAAACGCGGCTTCCTCCTCCTTGGCCCTCTTCTGGTATGGCTCTTGGCCCTTTTTGCCCAAGCGCTTCCACTCGTCTCCGATGCGGTCGAATGCCAGACGTTGTGGACGTTTCTGATCTGCTGACCCCGAGGCCTCTTGCTCTCGCTTGACATCGTCCTGAATCCGTGCGTACTGCTCTGACACGAAGATTGCATAAGGTGTTCTTTTTTTCGGAAGAAACTGTTTGACAGCCTTGTCGGCGGCCTTTTTGGCAGCCTTTTTCGCAGCAGCAGATTCCGGCTTTTTTGGAGAGGCCGGGTCAGATTTAGACCCCTTGGGTGGCATGGCAGCGAAGAAGATGGCCGATCTAGGCAGCCACCATGTTTCTTCTACGACAATTGCAAGACAGGAGTTCTCTGTATGAAAGGTCCACTGTTAATTGCATAAGCACCACATTAGAAGCGTTTTGTCGCAGCTTCTGGTTTAGGGTTTAGGTTTCCGGGTTTATATGATAAGGTTTCCATGTAGTTTAGGCAGTCGAGGGTTACAAGAGAAGCCTTGCACATGGCTTTGAAATTCCCCCAGCGGCTTGAGTAGCAGAGTCATGCTGAGGGAAGTTTAGTTGGCGATCACCCTAACCCCTAAACCCTAAACCCTAAACCCGACAAGACCCAAGGGCCACAATCCCGCGGGCCTGCTGATGGAGTGGCGACCTGCCGGACGGCCCGCTGATGCAGCGGCGACCTTTAGGATGTCATTATGAAAGCCCGAGGCACCGCAAACCTCTTACAACCAATTGCTATCGACCCTTTGGCCTTAAAACAAAAACTCAACCCCAAACTCTAAGCTTGAGTGACCGCCCGCCAAACATACCCCGAAACATACCCTGAATCATAGCCTTAGAGTTAAGGTTTGGGTTTTCTATTTAAAAGTTCCCTCTGCCCTAAACCAAAACACTACTGGTTCCAGTTATAGGGTCTGCCGGTCGTTTGGGGGGTTTAGGGCTTAGGGTTTAGGGTTTAGGATTTAGGGGTTAGGGTTTGGCTTAAATTCGGCTGGGGGCTATTAGGGCTAAGACCCTCGAATCCTGAGACCCTGAGACCCCAACATCCTAAGGCCCCAAGATCCCCAACGCCAGACCTCAACCCTTATGACCCGACGAGGTGCGCCATCCTGCGCTGGGTCCGACGACCTGCGAAGAACTCCGCCACGATGTATCTGCCGAGGGAGTTTAGGGTTTCGGGTTAGGGTTTAGGGTTTCGGGGTTTGGGTCCCTAAGCCCTGGCCCGAAACCCTTAAGACTCTCAACTCCGCAGGATTCAGGTCGCTCCTTTGTAGGGGGGGGGGGGTTTGTTGGGAGGGCTTTCATGAAGGGCTTTGGGTTTCGGACGGTCTAGGGTTTAGGGCTTAGGAGGGTTTAGGGTTTAGGTTTGTTCCTGGCGTGACTTTTCAAAGAAGTTGCAAAAGGACCCCCAAACCTTCCAACGGCCCCCCCCCCCCACCACCCCAACCCTGGCACCCGCAGAAACCCTGGACAGGGTTTAGGGCACCTTACAAAGGGCTTGGGGGTTTAAAGTACATAATTCTGCGGGGTTCCCTGGACAGGGTTTAGGGCACCTTACAAAGGGCTTGGGGGTTTGAAGTACACAATTCTGCAGGGTTCAAGAATTTTAGTTTAGGGTTCTAGCTCCGAAACCCTAGACCCAATACCTCAAACCCGACATTAAAACCTGCAGGGTTTTGGGTTTAAATTAGACCTCCCCGTCAAACCCCTGGAAAACCTAAACCCCTAGGGAGGGCAGCGACCTGAACGGTCACCACACCCCCCGGCAGCTGCCTGATCGGCAACCACGCACCCTAAACCCTATAAACCCAAAACCACACCTCCCGGCGTCTAGGTGGATCCCAGACCAATTAACTGAAACACACACCGAGCCCTACATTTCAACTCCTAAACCTAAACCCGAAACCCTAGAAGGCGGCAGCGCGGGGGCGAGCTCCTTGTGCCTAAACCCTTACTAAACCCTCAGCCAAAATCCTAAAAACCTCCAACCCTTGTCAACCGGATGGCGATGGCAGCTAAACCCTACACCGAACCCTTGCCCCTGACCCCTTCACCGCACCCGGGCTGCGGTGCCTGGGCTGCGGTGCCTGGATGCCTCTGGGCTGAAGCACTGTGCGAAGTTATTACGTCTACATTTGAGATTAAAACGAACTAGATCCTAGTGTAAGACACGATTTAGCGCATTATATCTAAGTTTTAGATCAAAACAATATAAATCCTAGTTCAAAATCAATTATCTTTGACAATGCAGATATTGTCAATACCCACGCTGCACCTGAATGCTTGTTCCAGGTAAGGTTGTTTAAAGCCCCACGTCTCCTGTAGCTACGAGGTTTATGTTTACGTTGAAATCAGAACGATTTGAATTCTGTCCGTCAGGATGTAAATTATTTTATCTAAGATTTAGATCAAAGTAAGATAGAGCCTGGTCTAAATGTGGGATTTAGCTGGTTAATCTAGAATCTATATAAAATTGATCTAAATGCTAGTCTAAATTTAGGATTCAGCTTGCTGATGTAGAATCTATATGAAACTTATCTAGATCCTAGTCTAAAGTCAGGATTCAGCTTTTTGATCTAGAATCTATTTAAAATTGATCTAGATATTAGTCTAGAGTTAGGATTCAGCCCATTATGGATCTAACGCTAGATTGAATGCTTGCTTGGTGGAAAGGGAAACCCTGCGCAGCACACCAATGACAGCCTGAACCCTAAACCTTGAACCCTAAACCTTGGGCCTGAGGTGTCTCCTTGCGGTAGTTGCGGTGTCCTCCACGTGGGGGTTTGGACACAATGTCTAGATGGATCCTAGGAAAGCCTCACGTCTCACGTAGCTACGGGGTTCATATTTACGTTGAAGTCAAAACGATTTGAAATCTAGTCCGTCAGGCTGTAGATTATTCTGCATACGTTTTAGATCAAATTGATATAAATCCTAGTCTAAATGTGGGATTCAACTTGTTGATCTAGAATCTATATAAAATTGATCTAATCCTAGTCTAAATTGAGGATTCAGCTTGTTGATGTAGAATCTATATGAAACTGATCTACATCCTAGTCTAAAGTCAGGATTCAGCTTGTTGATCTAGAATCTATATATTGTCAATATAGAAGCTCGGTGCTACTAGAGGGCTTAAGGTGTACAGTTCAAGGTTTAAGGTAAGAGCAGCCGCCCTAAATCCTAAGCCAGTAAAAAAATCAAATCGGCCGAGGCTAGATTCATAAAAACTGCATGCACCCTAAACCCTAAATCCTAAAGCCCTTAAACCCTAAACAGCCGTAACTCCTAAACCCTCAACCCTGGCCCTCAACCCGAGTCCTAACCCTAAAAACCGGTGTTCAAGGTTTAGGGTTAGTTTCCTGCAGCTCTACCAAGACGTGTCAACCGAACCTACATTTAACATTAATATACAAATAGTAGGCAACAGATATGCTGTTGACGAAATATGCCCCACGGCCTAAACTCCAGTAAACCCTAGACCCTACATCGAACCATATTTTTTCAATTGGGTTTTTAGGGTTAGGTGTTAGGTTTAGGGCGAGGGCTTAGGGTTTTCAGGGTACTTAGTTAGTCTCAGGTGTGCTTAGGGTTCACGGGCTATTTTCCTAGACGTCTATCGTGCTTACTTTGTGGTATAGATGAGTCTTTACCATTCTGCGTTTAAAATTTCGATAGATGCTGAACCCTACGCCTTAGCCCTACCCCAAACCCTAGAGCCTAACCCTCAAACCTAAACCCTAGCACGTAGGCCCGAAACCCTAAGCCCTAAACCGTCAACCCTACACCGAACCCACCACCGTCAACCCTACACCGAACCCACCTAAACTTTTGAACCCGAAACCCTGAGCCCGAAACCCGACTACCCCTAATACCCTTAATAGCCCTCAAAAGCTCCAAGCCTGTCGAAGCGAGCCCCTTGCTGCACAGGCAAAAGCCAGGCCTGCGCTTCGGGTGTAGGGTTTAGGGCCCTAAACCTTAAACCCTAAACCCCAGCAGCGACAATGAGCTCCTAAACCCTAAGCCCTTAGACTTAAACCTTAAGTACGAGGCGCTCGACGCTCGTCGCTAGTGTAGGGTTTAGGGTTCGGGCTTTAGGGTTTAGGGTTTAGGGTTCGGGCTTTAGGGCTGGGTGTCGGGCTTAGGCTTTAGGGTTTCGGGTCCTTAATTAGGGTTTAAGGCTTAGGGCTGAACACACCCTACCCTCAGGCCTAAACCCTACGTTGGCGTTCGACGGCATAGGCCTTTGGGTGTGTTCAGGGCTCGGGGTTTGTGGTTACCCTAAACCCTAAATGAAACCCTAAGCCCCAAGCCCTAAGCCTGAAACCCTAAGGACCCTAAACCCTATACCTTAAATGGAGCCCTAAACCCTAAGCCCTAAACCCTACGTTGGCATTCGACGGCATAGGGTTCCATTTAGGGTTTCGGGTTTAGGGTAACCACAAACCCCGTGCCCTGAACACACTCAAAGGCCTATGCCGTCGAATGCCAACGTAGGCCTTAGGGTTTAGGGTTCCATTTAGGGTATAGGGTTTAGGGTCCTTAGGGTTTAAGGCTTAGGGCTTGGGGTTTAGGGTTCCATTTAGGGTTTAGGGTTTAGGGTTCTTAGGGCTTAGGGCTTAGGGTTTAGGGTTGGTAGGGTTTAGGGTCCTTAGGGTTTAGGGCCTAGGGCTTAGGGTTCCATTTAGGGTTTAGGGTTTAGGGTCCTTAGGGCTTAGGGCTTAAGAATTCGGGTTCGTTCAGGGTTGAGGTTTTAGGGTGTAGGGCTTAGGGATCTCTCTCTCTCTCTCTCTCCTCTCTCTCTCTCTCACTCCAGCAGCTGCTGTCATCCACTCGTCCCGCTGGCTCGGAGGGGTCTTTGTCAGAAGGTGGGTCCTGCCCATGGGCCCGTCATCATGGACTGGGTCTGGCGCGAGTGCTGAATCCGCCGTGTGTGGCATCTCTGCGAAGTCTGGCATCTCTGCCAAGATGCCGCCCAGTGGCCGAAAGCCGAAAGGCTCTTCGAAGGCTGCCCGGCCATCAGTTCCCAAGGCAGTTGGCTCCATGGGTCCACGCGGCTCCATTGCCAGCACTGAGGCAAGCCAAAACCCCAAACCCTAAAACCGAAACCCTAATCCCTAAACCCTAAGGCCTAAACCCCTAGGCCTAAACCCCTTCACCCTTTTCAACCCAGGACTGCTCCGAAACCCTTCACCCTAAAGCCTAAAGCCTCAATCCTAAACCCTGAACCCCAAAACACTAGACCCTAAAACCTAAACCATAATCCCTAAACCCTCAGCCCTCA